CTCCCAGAGAAAGTGGTGGCCAGGCGAGTGAGAGAAATTCGGGACAGTAGCGGATTGTTTGATAAATTTCATCCCGGATTCAGCCACAGCCATGCAACCGAGCCTGCCCTTGTCAAAGTCATAAATGGTTTGAATGCCGCTGCTGAAAAGGAAGCCTGGCCTTGTTTGTACTATCAGATCTAGCCATGGGGGGGGGTTATTCTGTAAAAGGCCGGATTCTGTTGCAGTGCCTAGGTGACTGGCTAGTGTTGACTGAGAATGCGTTGAACTGGTTCCAGCGGTACTTGATTGCTTTCCCCCATCAACAGAGTAGGGTAAATTCTCCTCGAGAGCAGCCAGTTTCACATAATGACACTTGATCCCAGGGAGAATTCACCAGCAGCTTGACTTAGCTGGCACTGATGCTTTACGCTCTTTCTCTTGCCTTTCACAGAGATATATGAGATGCATTAGAGCAGTGTATTAGAACTCCTTTTTGGCTTTGTTGAAGAGGGCTGTATTTCTAAAAGTACCGACAATCAGATATTCAGAAACAAAAGACTTTCTTGTGCAGTCAAGATTATTAATAGAGATAAAACACTTGTTTGTACCTGTTAATTTGAAGTCAGACATCTTTTTAATTTTTATTTTTTTTAAAAAGAGGCCTGAATTCTGTTTGTAAATCTGGAGTGACAGTGCTGACACCAATAGATACATACAGCCGTAAATAACTTAAGAGGAGAATCTGACTCAACTGTCTGAAAACCTGAAGTCAATGAATAAATTTTCATGGGACTTCAGTTTACATTCATGACCAGTAAGCCTAACAAAGAGACTCCAGTGCTTCTTCTGCTACTCTTATGCACTCCAGTTCAACCAGGAGTCTGGTACCATTTTAATCCTGTAGACATTTTCTCTATTCTCTGGCTTCTCAGGCTATAGCGAGGCTGTGATCTACAGAGGGATTGCAAACCCTAGACCAAAGACCTGAAAAGGGCTTTAGCCACAGATCTTTCTGAATCTTGTCAGTGGGAGAACAGATTTACTTCTCTTCAAGATGCCTCTCATCAATAACATATAGTATCTGAGATTAACATCCAGTGGGATTACCTGCAAATTCTCTAGTCTGAGATTATCACCAATGTAACTAAATAGGCAAAGCTGCAGAGGAGATTTGGATGAACCTTCACGTTTCTAACAGATATGGGTTCTCAGTCACTATAACTTAAGGGTCTGTAAAATGAGAATATGATTAAGAGACTTCTGTGAACTTCATAGGTACAAAATGTGCAGTATGCAGAAGAGCTATCCTGAGTAATTAATTTGTGCATCAGCTTTTTCATGTGTCTTCATATGTCCGTGAGATGAGGTAACCTGTTATCCTCAAGAAACCTATAGAAAAGGGCGTAATAATTTATACTAGTATACTGGATTTAAAAAGACAAATTATGTTCATGTGCAGTGGGAACCTAAACAAAACTGAATTTGAAACCTTTCTTTCTCATTAAAAAATCAGAAAATAATTAAATCCAAGCACACCTTTATTTTGTTGTTAAAGTGATATAACAAATGTATGCAATGTACATAAAACATACATAAAATCTGTAGGACATTTCAGTTTTCCATTGTCACCCAACATGCACATTAGTAATCTGAATAGGAAGTTTATTAACATGTAGTGCTAAACTAAGAGTAGTATTTCATAGATGGCATAAATAGAACAGAATTTGACTTGGCATGTTTATTAACACTGTTGAACAAGCTCTGTTTAAGAAACTGGAAGGGAAGGAAACATACCCTACCCATTTTTCCCCAATGAATCTTAATTTCTGTTAGGCATCCCCTAATTTGTAAGTCTACCTTGTATTTTTCCTATGAAAATACCTAAACGTTCACATTGAGAATATATATGCTTTGCTTTCAAATGGCCTTTTAATAGTTTCTTTTTTATATTAGGCTTTCCAAAAAACAATTGGACTTAGTACAAACCCATTACTTCATTTTTTGCACGTTGCATTATGGTTAACCACTCCATAGCAGGGCCCTCAAAGCAGGCTTCTTGGTTCAGTAAGGTGCATGCCTCTTGCTAATACCCTCATTGCTAATCATAACTTGGGAGAATAAAACCTGATACCAGTTGAAAACCATTTTACAATTAACTTATTTATAAGTAGACCATAATTACATGGTGTTATCTCACTTTGTTTTTACAGCCTCTTCCCATGCTTCAAACAAGCAAATTATAGACGTATAGTGCTGGATGATATATGGGAGGGTATGTTGCAAAGGATGTATTTTAATTACCTGAGTTTGAAAGGATCATGTAAAGGTTCATCACTTTGATCATTTCAGAAAGATGAGACCACTGGTTTGTTGATTGGCTCTGCTTTGCTTTGCTTTGCTTTTTGGCACTTCATAGTAAACCCTCTTACCTAGGTCATTGCACAAGACGAAGACAGACAGGACTTAACAAAGAATTCTTTCAATGGTTCTGAAAACAGTAATTTTTCTGTATCAAGCTAACACTGTTTCAATGTCTAAATAATTGACGAAGAACAAATCCAGATGGTTCATGTTATTAAGATAATGTTAACATCTTACTGGGTGCAGGAACTATTTGCAGCTGCTGTAGGTTATGAGATACTGGGACACAAATGTGTCTTTAGTCCCCTTTACTGGCTAGAGTAAGCTGGGAGGAGATTTCACTCTGAGGGAGAATAATATTTTAAAGAAAGCTGGAGCAGAGGAATTGTTTTTCTTCATATCAACAAGCTTTTTAGGGCAGAGGTCATTCAAAATTAGCCAGATTTTGAATTTTATTTCTATCCAGTGATATTTAGCCTTCCTTCTCTTCAAATTAAGGTTGACTATTTTTGATCTTTGTCAGCGACGTGGACAGTAGGACTGAGTGCACTCTCAGCAAGTTTGCCAATGACACCAAGCTGTGTGGTGCGGTCGACAAGCCGGAGGGAAGGGATGCCATCTAGAGGGACCTTGGCAGGCTTGAGAGGTGGGCCCATGCAAACCTCATGAAGTTCAACAAGACCAAGTGCAAGGTCCTGCACGTAGGTCAGGACAATCCCAAGCGCAAATACAGGCTGGGCAGAGAATGAATTGAGGGCAGCCCTGCAGAGAAGGATTTGGGTGGTTTGGTTGATGAGAAGCTCAACAACGTGCGCTTGCAGCCCAGAAAGCCAACCCTATCCTGGGCTGCACTAAAAGAAGCAAGGCCAGAAGGTCAAAGGACGTGATTCTCCCCCTTTACTCCACTCTCATGAGACCTCATCAGGAGCACTGCGTACAGCTCTGGGGCTCAGGGCCTTTTCTGTTTCCCACTCTGCCCTGACACTGAGCAGGATGGGGATGCACGAGAAGCTGGGAAGGGACACAGCTGGAACAGGTGACCCCAACTGACCAAAGGGATGTCCCACACCATAGTACATGGTGCTCAGCAGTAAAACCTGGGGGAAGAAGTAGAAAGGGGGGGTGTTTGGAGTGATGATATCTGTCTTCCCATGTCATCATTATGTGTGATGGAGCCTTGCTTTCCTGGAGATGGCTGAACACCTGCCTCCTGATGGAAAGCAGTGAATGAATTCCCTGTTCTGCTTTGCTTTACCTACTAGTCTGTCTTTATCTCAATCCATGAGTTTTCTCACTTTTATCCTTCCAATTCTCTCCCCCATCCTGCTGAGGGGAGTGAGCGAGTGGCTGGGGGGGGGTGGGGTGCCTACCCGGGTTAACCTACAAGAGATTGATGAGTGGCAATAATACTGCATCATTTACAGTGCCAAGGGTTTAAAAGCATGAGTGGTAAAAACATCAGAATTCATACTCTGACAACTCAGGAATATCTCATTTTCATGAGATAAGGGCAAAGGGATGACACGGTAACCAATACTAAGAAAACTATTTTGCAAGGCAAAACTTCCTTCTCAGAGAGAGGCAAGGATATAGGAGTGACCACAGTATGAGCTGAGAAGAACCAGGACATGTTTTAGATGAGTAGAGGAAAAACAAGGCCATCTCCTGCGTATATGAGACTGGAAGAATCTGCAGGGTCAGGAAATGAGAAGACTTTTATGAGAGGCAACAACTGAAGATGCAAGGTTATGGCCTGAAACAACACAGCAAATGGCTGTTCTCCACAGTGACTGAGAAAGGTGCAATAGGGAGAGCTTGTGGGAGGAGATGAAGAGCTTTGCTTCAGCCATGAGAGCTCGCTGAGACGGTGACCAGACATTGCCAAAGAGACACCAGTTTGTGTTTTCAGTTTGAATGGAAGCAGATAAGTCTGGATCAGAAATGGACTTGTGAATTTCTGCAGAGACAGCAGTTGAATTTGTGCCCTGCAGTCGGTAGGCCAGGTAGGTTAAGGAAGGGATGGAGCCTCTGAGATCTGTTTGAGGAGAAATCAGCAGAGAAATTGGTACGAGCAATGCCAGTGGAATTGCAGCGGGTGGCCCAGCACCTAGTCAGAGATGAACTCCAGGCAGCAAAAGTAAACGGCACTCTCAGCATGGTTACAGATAAGAAGGAGATGGTCGTTGTGGAGGCAAGCAGGTTCAATGTGTGTTTTCAAAGCAGAGAGATTAAACACACATTTGTTTTGAGAGGAGGGAGAAGCCAAGGCAAATGACAATGTACAGAGAGGGGTAGAAAAAGAGGTAAGCAAGCACCAGGGAGAGGAGAAGACGGAATAACTTGTTCCGCTTGATGCTTGCATCCGTTTTGCGATCAAAACTGCACTAATTTGGGAAGCAGTTTATATAATCCATAAAAACGCATTTTATTAGCTTTTTTTTTGCTTTGAATCACTGACTTCTAAAGAATGAGAACAGCCATAAATGCTATTGTCTCCACAGGCAGCAATTTGGAAATAGAAGATGCATGGTTACATGATAAGTGTTTTTTCTTCATAAAAAATGTTTGCAAATCAGCTTTAAAATAAGGGAAAAATAACTTGAAAATATTCTGCACTTCAGAAAATAATAAAATGTCTTCTTATTTTCCCCTGGTAGGCCACGCAATGCAGATTACTTTATGCAGGAAGCTAAACGGAAGAAGCATAAAGCAGATGCAATGGTGAGAACATTTTCTTTCCAGTTATGTTGCTGCAAATTATTTTTGTAATGCAGTTTCTTCATCAGTGCAGTATTGCTGGGGTAATTATAAAATCTATTATAAGGATGGCTAGGCTTGTTAAATTAAGAAATGTTTATATAATCAAATGTTCATAGCCCAATAAACTATGACTTAACAAATAATGACTTACTGAGATAAAGGCCTGGATAAATAAAACTTTCCATTTATTCCATTGCTTTAATTAGTAACTATAGCAATGGAGGCTGTGTAAGGGAGCCACATACCTATCTTCTGAGTTTAACTAGCTGGCTAGGTCCTGTAATTGCATCCCCAAATTTGGTCTGGTGGCTAAGGTATTTGCACTTTTTTTAAAGACCTTTGGCTCTTCAGTGCCAAAAGAATCCTGGCTTCATGGCAGACCTCTCCTGACATAATCAGAAGCACACCTGAGATCTATGTAAAGGAAGAACTTGCACACAAGGGACTTGCACCAAACAGATTCTTGGCCCTGGCTGTGACCTGTCTAAAATTGTAACTGGGAAGACCCTCTTGGAAAAGGGGAATCTGAGGCTGTATGGAGCACTGAGGAGACGCTAGTCTTTCCAACAAGTGGGTGCAATGAAGTACTCAGTGCTCTGGGAGAGCTCCACTTAGCCACCTCTCAGCTTCCTCCAAGGCTACGTTTGGGCAGCACTATGAATAAGCTCACACGGCCTCAAAAACATCAGGCCTCTGGAATGGCAAACACAATATATGAGGTGGGACCCTGCATTAATATGGCCGTCTTGCAGGTGGGAGTAGCTGCAGTCCTGCCTTGCTCTGTCAGACAGAGACATTGTCACAGCAGCGGGAAAGAAGAAAGGTAGCTCCCAGCCTCAGTTTCTTCGCTTCTTTTTCTCAGCTGTGCAGAATGTAAAAAGGCCAGAGAATCAGAAGCAGGCCCTTAATTTAGGATGCTAACGCTCTACCTGAGTTTATTAGCACAAGTTTCCATGGTTTATTCAGTTCCATATTACTCTAAAGTGAGTCTTAAATCAGAAAATATTGTGGAAAAGTACAAATGGTGCATTTTAGTGTGTTGCTTTAACCAGAATGGAAAAAATCACTTAATATGCAAAGAAAATTCTTAGCCTGAAGAGAAATGTTTTTATGGTAGACTCCCAGAAGCAGGAGGTGCAAACATTATTCTCTGCTCCGCCACAAGTTTCCTGCATGAGAGTCACTTAGGCACAGTTTAAATAGCCTCCCGTCAGTGTTAGGTGATTGCAACATCCTTCACATTCAGCTGCCATACACAGTGGACAAGCACCTTACTTACACCTCGTGAATCACTCTTTGCAGGTGCTTTCTCTCCCTCATTGACTGTGTAGGGATCCCAGAGGAATTGCCATATCGCCGAAGTGCCTCCAGGCCCTTTGAATCACCTTGCTGGGCTCGATACCTCCTACTTTGGCACTGCGATGCCTAACATAGGCACTTAGAGTGAGCAGCCTGAAAATTACTCTAAGTCTCTCTGCTCCTTAGTCCCCCATCTGTGAAATTGGGATAATAGCACTTCCACCCGCACAGGAGCGTCAGGGAGAGAAATACAATAAAAAGTTTCTGAACTTCTCTGGTATGATCGCAATGGGAGTCATATAAGAACCTAAAATAGATTGAAGCCAGTGTGCCATTCCAAAGTTACTATTTAAAATCTTTATCCCTTGGAAAAGAATAAGGCCCATTAACCTTTCACTGTGTGCATCAGATTTCAACCAAATGCATCCAGTCCATTAATGGGCTTTATGTACCGCAGGAGTTCTGACTGAAGGAAAGAGAAGTCAGGACAGAGAGGTTATTAGTATGATTCATCTCTATCCACATCAAAACTGAAATTCTGAGAGCAGATAAGTGGTAAGTGTACACATATGAACATCGTGAGCACATTTGCATATACACCATCATTGAGGACATGTAGGAACATGTATCTGTATAAATACACAAATACACACACACAGAGTCAAAGAAGTACTAAAAATGGGAGAAGAAATGGGGAAAGGAAGAAGGGTGGCAGGAGAAGCTGAAGGAGCAGAGCAGTCCCTGAAAGAGGAGGAGGATATAGAAAGCAAATTCCTGACAAGAGGAGAGCGTGGTCAAGCAGTGCTGAAAACGGTAGGGATAAAGAAAACATGAGAACACAGATGAGCCTTCAAATAAGAGAGCTAGTAGTCTAAGTATTATTTCTGATTCTCTTAGTCCATGATAATCATTACCTTTCTTAGCTGAGTGATGAAAAACTACATTTGCAAACATACGTCAAACCTTTTTTAATGAAAGGTGGAACAAAAGGCCTGATGAGCTTGTGGAATTTCCAGCGCTGGAAAAGCTTTGACAAAGATCTGTCAGGAATGTCCTAGGCAGAGTTGATCCTTCTTTGGACACAAAGAGTGTGGATCAAATAACATTTTGTAGTCTTTTTCAGCTCTACTTTCTGTATCTTATGAATTTTGCTGATGCATAGGGTTTGATGGGGTTTATCTGTCTTGTAGGAAAATCTGTGAATCCGAAGATATAGCAATTTGTGTCAAGTTTACAACTGATGTTGAAAAAATCCCATCAAATGTAACAATATCTTGATGATTACACTATTTCTCTGTGTCCTTATTTTTTCCTCTAGGTGGAAAAGTTTGGAAAGGCATTGAATTATGCAGAAGCAGCACTATCGTTTATTGAGTGTGGAAATGCAATGGAACAAGGCCCAATGGAATCTAAATCCCCTTATACAATGTATTCAGAAACAGTTGAACTCATCAGGTAGGAAGGGAGGAGATGACCTCAGGGGTTACTCTGTGCAAACATGCTCATCTACATTATCACATAACTCCCTAGGTACAGTAAAAGGGGAGAAGTGAGGTCCTCCCAAGTGCCTGGTCAGTCATATGTAATATTTATGTAATATCTGTGATTTCTGGAAATTAAAACAGGAAACTGTGTAGAATGCAAAAAAAAAAAAAGCCTTTCATATTACTTGAGCTGCAAATTATTTCCAGAGTTTCATGGTATAAGTCCCATGATACTCAAAAGGGAAAAATAATAATAATAGATAATATCAAAACATTCTCATGGAGCAGTAGTTTGCAAAATGTTGCAATGTGTTTAAGACTGCAATTTAATGGTTACCTGAAAGAAGATGTGAGCAGAGACAGAAAAATGGACACTGAAGGTCCATTTGATGTGTATGCTCCTACTGTAGCCAGTGGAGTCACAAAAGCAGCCCAGCCCACGCTAAAACAGACCCCTACATTTAGTCACCTTCACAGCTCTCCGAAGAGGACAGTCTAGAATTCAGTCCCACCCTCAGTCCCTATGAAGAAAGTTTGTCTCTTGAGTCCTTTCCTCCTTTATAGTCAGTACTAATAGTTAATGTTATTGACAGTGTCAGTAGAGAACACAAAGGTCAAAATCATCCCAGCAGCTGAGTGACTCTTGCAAGAGAGCGAGCCCAGCCACACCAGCAGAGCAAGCTGCACTGTCGGTGACCATGGCATCATTCCTCAGGACAGTCAACCACACAGTTCTTGTCAGGACTAAGTTCATAGGAAGTAAAACATTTTAATTTTTAATCAGTGGAGCAGAGCTGCTAAAACAATTGCATTCTTTTGGACCTAGTGTTGATGCAATGGTTTTCTCGCACGTTAACAATTCCATTGGCATTTTATTCCACTTAGGGCTCTCTTCTCATGCATTTCAGTGGATTGAGGCTAGCTTTCTAACTGGAAGGTTATTAACAAAATCAAATCTCTTTTTCAGTGCATCCCATCTCTGCAATTCTTCCCTTCTTTTTTTTTCAAAAGGCAGAAAGCTCTTTCTTTGTCTGCCCCGTCTTTGTGATAGTAAATATAGGGTCCTATCTCTGGAAATGAATTTTGCTTACAGATCCGTAGCTTTCGATAATGTGTGTAGCTGGGGTTGTGCTGTAGTGTGAACTGCTGTTGATCTCACTTGCTGCAGCTCAGAAAAATAAGTGGTTTACTAGGTATGCCTGTTGAAACAAAACGTTCATACTGAATCTTTGCACAGGTATCAGGATTAAAGTTTGAAAGCAAAGATAAGAAAAAACACAAGCAGCTAATTATGGAGAACAGGTATTTTTCTGGAAGCGAGCCCAGAAGTGCTGTGTGTTGTCCTAACCTTGTCCATCGATCAGGTTATTCAGCTGGAAGCAGAGATTTCCAGAAACTAATTTGTGATTGCATAGCACATACACTCTTGAAACAGCAGTGCTACCTCTGTGGATGTTTAATATTTATAGAATTTGAATGTAATGTCATATGAGCAAAAATAGCTCTGAGCCACATGTTCCCCCTCTGCTGTGCTCTGCTTGGAGGAGATGTGGGTAGACACGCTCAGGACTGGCAGGGTGAGGGCAGCACCAGCTCCCAGGCAGGCTGTCTGCCTTCAAATGCTCTGAAAACCTTTCTGCATGAACTCTCTGTAACTGGGTCTCCACAGCAGCCGAGGTTATTTTGGTAGGACAGCATCACCTTGCCAGCTAGGCTCCCCTCTGGACTGATGGATGTTCAAGGGAGTTACTGCTGAGTAGAGTGCAGGGAGGCACTGCTAATGGCAAAATAGCTCTGAAACACAACCAGAGAAAGCACATGTCTGTCTGGTAACTCAAGCAAATATGTATAAGGGGGCAGACTAAATGACATCGGCCAGCTTAGCTCTCTGATCAGTAACATAAAGCGGTCTCAGTTAACTCACGTTGGCTTTTTTTTTCCTTTTGCTTAAGGTATGCAGTGAGACTAAAAACCCACTCAGGCCCCAACGCCACGCCAGAAGACAAACAGCTGGCAGCATTATGGTTAGTAGATCAAGATTTCCTCAAAAGGCTTCTTTCCTGCAGTGAGCCAGTTCTTGAAAATCAGATGCTGGACACAGCCAGATAGGATTATGTTGTCTATTGAAATTAAGAGAATACTTGCTGCTCCAGGAAGGTCCGGCCCTTGTATCACTGTACCAGGTCTGCATTCTGTCTCTGCAAATAAGCAATTCGTACTTATTGACCGTGACAGGTCAGCTATGGTACGTCAGCATAATTAATTTTTAAATGCCTGATGGTTTGTTGTTTTTATGAGTGATGTACTTTTGTACCAATAGCTCGGTAATTTCTTTTGTGGCTGACATTTTAGGCTCAGTAATCGTAAATTATATTTACATTATATGAAGTAAAATACAGTGATGGTGATAATTAAGCCTCTTGGATTGCCTTCTACACTGAGATTTCTAGAGATATATATGCACGCACCTTAGATTCTATAGGATGGCTGCTGATTGCTAGTAAAATACTAAAATGTTATTAAAATCAAATTTTAATTTAATATCTAAGTAGTAATACATAAAATACCTATTACATGGTTACTGATTCTCAGTAAGTGGACATTTACAATCAGCAAGTGTGTTTTCAACATCTATTAACCATCTGTTAAAAATCCAAATTAAATGCATCTTTAGCCTCCATAAATAAGGAGTCCTAATTAATCATGTGTAGAAAAAAAAAAAAAAAACAGAAAAAAAAAGCAAAATATCCAGAGATGCAATAATTTTATTTTATTTTTTTTAAATGCCCTTTCTTTGTCAGCCGTTTGCTGCGCCGTCGGGAGGAGCACAGAATGCATTTGCAGCAATTACTTTAAAAACGCTTGGGTGGGAAAAGGACTAAAGAACAATTAAAAAAATAAAATAATAATAATAATAATAAAGCCATATGACGAAGGATTGCTCAGAACTGCCGGAGCGCTTCGGCACACGCGGAACCGCATCGCATCCCAACTCCCGCGGCCGCCGCATCTGTTTGGGCGGGAAGGTCGGCGCAAGGGGGGCGAGCAGACGGTGCCTTCCCCGGGCGAGGAAGAGCCATCCTAACTCAGCGCCTGGCAGCCAGCAGCTGAGCCGGCACCAGCTGCACTCGCCCTGTTGTCACCTGTGAAGGTGACAGCGTGAGAGCGATGGTGGCTGCGAGGCCACCGCATCCTCCCCTGGCTGCTGCCGGCCGGCCCCGGCGCCGGCTTCTCCTAAGGAGAGGCTGTCCTCCAGCGGCCAAAGGCAGAAATTCACCTTCTGCCTTCAGGACGGGAGGCAAACGAGCCGAGAAACCCCGGCGGAGGTTGATTAATTTTTATTTCCCCCCCGGCCCCGAGCAGTTTGCTAATTGGAGGGGGTTTGCTGAGGTTTGGGCAGCTCCCGGGCGCAGGGAGGTGGGGAGCGCTCTGGCATTTGCAAACTCAAGGCACCTGCCGGTGCTTCATGTTGGCTCCCAGACTAAATACTGCTTTTAAAAACAAAGGCGGCTGCTGCCAAAGGAAAAGCAAACCACACCAGATTTTTGCTTCCAAAGCTGTGTTACCGAGGGGCAATTCCACATTTGCCCATCAAAAAGCTTGCTGGGAAGAGGTGGCAGTGATTCCTGATTTGGAAAACGCACCAGCGCACCTAAAGCCAATAGCGAAGAAAAGAGTTTGTGTGTCCTGAATGCTGATGATCAGTCATTATGATGTATAATTATGGTTAATAGCTATTACTCTCATTTAATCACATAGCGTTAAAGGTGTGTGACTCTCTGCAGACTAACGAGGAGCATGGGGTCAGACAGTTCCCGTACAGCACGTTGAGTTTTTTGGCCCGTGGCTGGTTTCCTCTGGGGAAGAAATCAGGCAGGTGGCCTAGGAATGGCCTCCAGGCTCCAACACAATCTCCTTTCTGGTTTCCCACAGAGGAGCTTGGCCAGTGAAACCTGGACAGGGCCAAGGTTTCCCAGCTACCTCCTGCAGCTGGAAGAGACCACTGCGTGTACACAAAAATACACCCATTACAACTCTAGGTCATTCTACAGGCTCCAGGCTGTTGTAATAAAGTCCCTGGATATGATATCCCAAAAGGGTGCCCTTGCATTTACAAAAAGAAATTTTTTAAAAATGCCTGTGTTGGGTTCCAGGCCTGTAACAACCTTTCCATGGAAGAGGCCTTTGGTCAAGTGTGCAGAGCTCAAGTCAGAGTCAAGGTCTGGGAACCCAAACCTGCAAACCCTTCTGAATACAGCATGTGTCGTACCTCACTGGTAGAATTTGTCTGCATGACCTGTCCTGGCTGTAATACCTAGCCTTGCTCACGAATCCGTGGCAAAGTGTGAAGTACTGTAAATGAATGGTGATAAAAAACGTAAGCAAGGCGCTGTCAGCCTTCCACTCTGTTAGTTTGAGAATTTAAGATAATTAATTGGGATTTCTGTTCAGGGGGCACGCTTTACCTTCTGCTCTCCCTTCTGTTCTAGTTACCGCTGCCTGGCCCTTCTGTACTGGAGGATGTTCCGACTCAAGAGAGACCATGCGGTCAAGTATTCGAAAGCGCTTATTGAGTATTTCAAGGTGCATTCTTTATGACATGTTTTTAGATCAGTGTGTCATTATAGGAAATACAGCATCTTACTGAAACAGCAGCTGTGCTGGGCTTAGTTCTTCCCCTGAGAAGTCAGTAGAGTTTTACCATAGACTCCCATGGCAACACCTGATCTCTAGTCAGTTCTGTTGTCTTCACGAGAGCCCCTCTTCGCAAAATACACACCGTGTCCCTTCATGAAGAATGAGAAATTTATTGTACTAAAAAACAGGCATTTTCAGATTATTCTGGGTCAATTGGCTAGTGCTATCTAGCTCTGTTGCAAATAGGTTTTGCAGATTTTGCTCTAAGAATCCCCTCCAGGATTACACTTCCCACTAGACTACCTGTGAGTTGAGGACGTTGATCTAGATCAGTCCTCATCTGCGGGGCTTCCACGTAGCAGCATCACTTGGTAGGACAGTGCAGTGGGACATGTTCTTACCTGAGGAACTGGCAAACAGCCCATGCTGACTTGAGTGAGAGCTGCACGAAAGCATGGGAGGGCAACTAAACCACCTGCCATGTGCTTGACACAGCACTGCTGGCTTCCCCTTCCTGTTCTGCTTTGCCTGCTACTGCTTCCATCTTCCACTCTCTGCCAGGTCTGAACCCTGGCTATTTTGAATAAGACAAGGAATCATTCAAAGTATTTTAATATATTGTATTTGATGGGCAACCTTTCTCTGGAAGGTATCTCAGGAACAAAACCTTTCAGGTGGAGCTCACCTAGAGGTCAGTCCATCCAGCATTTCCTCTCCAAAACCAAAACTAGTCTTTATCTTTCTACTTAAAAAATTAACATGTACATGGGAGTACATATGTACAAGCTTTACAAAGTACAAGCTTTAAGACAAACTCTTTTGAGGGACCTGAACAGCCATTTGCCTTTGAACACAGGGCTCATCTGTTGGGGTTTTTTTGCAGAGGGAGGTACCTTGAAATGAAAAACATCCATCCTTTGACGTTTTGTTAATAAAAAAATTCAAATACAATCTCGAATGCTCATGACCAGATTCTGAACACATGAAGACAGTGAAGGAAATTGACGGATCCGTTATTGTCAAAGTGAAACTGAAGGCACTGTAATCGCTTCTAAAAATTTAGCAATAGATAATTCAACTCATTACGTTTCTCTAACAATGTCTTGATTTCAAGGGAAAGAAATGCGTGCTTATTACAGCACTTTATTTTTCTTTACCAGTTCAGAGAATACCTGCATTAAGAACAGGATGGTCAGGCTCTCAACCATGTAAAATGTCTCCTACTGGCAGACAGAAACTGTTGCACAGCAAACATAAAATGGACTTAGACTCTGCTGTAGCCAAGATGGGCTTGGGTTTTTGCAGAGCTCTTGCTGATATAATGATAGCATAGTTTCATATTAGAAAGTATTCTCACCTTTGAAAGTAAAAATGGAAAAAAAATCCATTTGCTATAATTTTCAGTGGAAAACAAGCCAATTCTCCACTCATTTCATATTTGGTATCTAAAAGCTTTCAAAACCAAGTGACGTGAAATGCTGACTGCATTAAGAACTTCCACATATATTATCAATCAAAGAAAGATTTTAAACCTTGTCACACACGTTTGCAGGGAAAATTAGACACACTTTTCTTTTAGAAAAGAAAAAATGATTATTTAAATCTCCTTTTAGGTATTTTATTTCCGTCATAAAAAAAATTAATGCAGCAGAGAATTAAAAAGAAGCCACAGATACTCAAGGGCCAGACACATTTGAGAGCATGAAGAAAGCAGGAGAATGGGTAGCAGTAAGCAAAGTGGGATAAGAGATGGTCCCTTACAACATTACACCCTTTAGAATCCTTACCCCCACCTTTCTGGTGCAGAACTGAGAGGAGGCTAGAGTAATATACCTAAAACATGAGAAAAAAAGGTGTGGGAAGTTGTACAGTAAGGCAGAGGCTGGTTACATTTACAGCAGAAGTATCCTTTTGATATTTATATTTCATATTTTCCTGCCTCCAACTCTGTAAGTAAATAACATGTACTCAGTTTCCATTACACTAGAAAGATGAAGGCCAGTAGTTCTGAGACAGATCAGAAAAGAAAAGAGAAAAAAAAAAACCCAACGTTCTGTAAGAGGAGCAAATGCCAAGGATTCCCAGGTTGGTTCTATTTAGGATGGTAAATGAGAACTTTTCGGTTTTTTCCTTTCACACTTTAGCCCTTCCTGCCAAAAAAAAAAAAAAGAAAACCCATTGAAGGAAGAAGCCCCTGTGGGACACTCCAAAGCTTATTTTTCATAGCACTTACCTGGGATGTAGAAGGCCCAGTGTCAAACTGCAGGAAGAATGCCAGGGCATGCACAGCACTGATGTGATCACTGCTGAAATACAGCCAGTGCACATGAAAGACGTGAGAACACCAGAAGCAGTTCAGAGGAGGCATCAAAACTGAGAAAACTAACTTTTTGAAGAGAGATATAGCCAGCTTACTGCAGAGCAAGTTAAGAGAAGATGTGATCGTTGTGTATGTGGAAACAGAGAGGATAATACCAGGTGACATGCAGTTTTGCTGGCACTGGGCCAACAAAATCCAAAAGCTAGCACTGAAGTTAAGAAAACTCAGTGCTGAAACCCTGAAACAGAATCTGCTTTCCTAACTGTGAGCCCTGCTAAACATTAGTCACAGGACACAGGAGAACAAGGGGGTAAATAGTGTCTTAGGATTTCTTTACAACTAGCTATCCATTTTAAAAAAATAAAATAAAATAAATTTTAAAAGTAATGTAGCTTCTCGTAAAAGTTCCATGACTGGTGGAAAAGGGAAATTGCAGACTGAGTGTCCTGGGGGATTACTCCTGGCCTTGAAACCCACGAAGCTATGAAGCTCCTTATTTATCATTTTTTTCTTCCTAAGCCATGGGAGACCAAGAGTCTACTGCTGTTAACACTTGGGACTCCTGCAGCTTGCAACACCTGCAGCCTTGCATTTAACCAGTAAACAGATCTCAAGCTGCAGGACTTCACTTGGTCTCCTGTGGTTGTCTAGAAGGGAGGCTTGTTCCCCAGCACACAATTATCTGCATATAAGGTTTCAGAGGAGGGTGCGAGGAGGTCGCTTTCCTCTGAAGGATTAGAAACTGGTCATTGCTGAACATGAGGCTGCGGATGGGACAGACCAGAAAAGTTTTGGTTCTTAGACTTCGGTTTTTTACATCCTTCTTTGTCACAGGCCCAGGACTAAATCAGGCACAGTATTTGGGAGAGGGGAGGAGTTTTTTCCACAGGTCAAATCATAGAGTCATAAAATGTTTTGGGTTGTTTTGGGTTGGAAGGGACCCCTAGAGGTCATCTAGTCCAACCCCCCTGCAGTGAGCAGGGACACCATTAACTAGATCAGGTTGCTCAGAGCCCCATCCAACCTGGTCTTGAATGTCTCCAGGGATGAGGCCTCCACCATCTCTCTGGGCAATCCATTCCAGTGTCAAATGGGCAGGAACCTTCCAGTAAATTCCCACCAGCTCTTGTAGATTGACTACTAGAACCATTTTAGCTATTCTGTTTCCATTACTGTGGACACCTGAATTTCTCCTGCTCTGTAAATATAGTGCTTGTACAAGGTAGCCCCTCCTCAAGCAATGAAATGCGTTAACCTAGGCACAGTATAGCAGTGAGAGTCTTTAATGACTGGAGGTATACGAGAGATCACACTGTAGGATCTAACGTCCCCTTCTGGGGGGGTCTGGGTAAGCCTTCAGCTAGAAGTACCACCAGTCTACACAGGCAGCCTCTCTGGCCCTGTCAGTGCTTCCATATTCAAACCAAGGGGAAGAGCCCCAGGAGGAGCAATCGTGAGAGAGATTCTTGAGCCTAGTGGTTAAAACACCCACCCGAGCTGATGGAGCCTCAGATTCACATCCCTGTGGTCAGCCAGGCTGAGCAGACTTGCACATTCTCACAGGACCTAGGACAATGACACTTGTCTTTGGGGGCAGCAGAGTGGGAGGAAATCCTTCTGGTTTTCTCTGTCACAAGCAGTTCCGTGTCAAACCTCACAAAGAGTCTTGGCAGCACTTTCTTCTGAACTCCCAGGATTTCTGTGAAAAGTTTCAGTTTCAACTAACATCTTTTCCTAATCAGCCCCCATCCCAAGGTGTTTAATATACTTAGTCTATTATAAACTCTATACTGAGTTTAATAGATTTGAGTCTGCTGCAGCACTGCTTCATCACAACACCAAACCAGGCTGAGTGGGTTCATTGCATCAAGAGACTTGAATACTTCTATCTGCACAATTTTTTCTTTACATTTCTTTAATTTTATACTGTTCAATGTTCTTCCTTTTGTAGTCTTATACAAATTATATGCATTGTGAATTATTTTTTCCTTTACAGAATTCATCAAAAGCTGCCCAGAACCCATCGCCTTGGGGTGCCAGTGGAAAGTAAGTTCACAGGTTGCACAAAACCTTACATCAAATTGGCAGTCAGAAATTATATTTTCTTACCTGCAGTATGTTCTGATGCTTCCATGTTTTTAATCCCAACACCCTTTTCAGTAACTGTATTAACATCTGTTTTCAGGAGCACAGGAACTCCATCACCCATGTCCCCTAGCCCTTCTCCAGTCAGCTCTGTAGGATCCCAGGGGAGCACAGGGGCCCCTTCCCCATCTCCTATCATCAGCATCCCTCAGCGCATTCATCAAATGGCCGCCAACCATGTCAGCATCACCAACAGCATCCTGCACAGCTATGACTACTGGGAGATGGCTGACAACCTGGCCAAGGAAAACAGAGGTGAGTGAGTCAAGGCACTGGACTATTCTAGAAAACTGACGCATGATTTTGATCAGGAAAGTAACTATTTTGATAGGAATCCTGTCTACAAAGTAGGACTGCAGAGGTGTTATTTTCTTCAGTCAGCTCCTAATCTGTTCCAAAACATCCCAAAAAGGCAATTTTGATAGCTGTCTCACTCAGAAGCATCTAATTTTTGTCTTTGTTTGGCTGGTCAGGACTGGTGACAGACAGGTCACAGACATAGCTGTGGCTAGTGTTCACTGCCATCTGTGTTGTTCTGGAGAGAAAGGTTTGTTGGAGGCAAGACAGCTTCCTGCCCCCCAAAGTCGTGGGGCTGGATGGGATGCGTTTACCCAGACCATGTCAAAAAGCAGAAGCACGCTTTCTTTCTGTAGAAGGAATGACAGCCCCTGCTCCCCCCCCCCGAGGTATACGAGAGATCACACTGTAGGATCTAACGTCCCCTTCTGGGGGGGTCTGGGTAAGCCTTCAGCTAGAAGTACCACCAGTCTACACAGGCAGCCTCTCTGGCCCTGTCAGTGCTTCCATATTCAAACCAAGGGGAAGAGCCCCAGGAGGAGCAATCGTGAGAGAGATTCTTGAGCCTAGTGGTTAAAACACCCACCCGAGCTGATGGAGCCTCAGATTCACATCCCTGTGGTCAGCCAGGCTGAGCAGACTTGCACATTCTCACAGGACCTAGGACAATGACACTTGTCTTTGGGGGCAGCAGAGTGGGAGGAAATCCTTCTGGTTTTCTCTGTCACAAGCAGTTCCGTGTCAAACCTCACAAAGAGTCTTGGCAGCACTTTCTTCTGAACTCCCAGGATTTCTGTGAAAAGTTTCAGTTTCAACTAACATCTTTTCCTAATCAGCCCCCATCCCAAGGTGTTTAATATACTTAGTCTATTATAAACTCTATACTGAGTTTAATAGATTTGAGTCTGCTGCAGCACTGCTTCATCACAACACCAAACCAGGCTGAGTGGGTTCATTGCATCAAGAGACTTGAATACTTCTATCTGCACAATTTTTTCTTTACATTTCTTTAATTTTATACTGTTCAATGTTCTTCCTTTTGTAGTCTTATACAAATTATATGCATTGTGAATTATTTTTTCCTTTACAGAATTCATCAAAAGCTGCCCAGAACCCATCGCCTTGGGGTGCCAGTGGAAAGTAAGTTCACAGGTTGCACAAAACCTTACATCAAATTGGCAGTCAGAAATTATATTTTCTTACCTGCAGTATGTTCTGATGCTTCCATGTTTTTAATCCCAACACCCTTTTCAGTAACTGTATTAACATCTGTTTTCAGGAGCACAGGAACTCCATCACCCATGTCCCCTAGCCCTTCTCCAGTCAGCTCTGTAGGATCCCAGGGGAGCACAGGGGCCCCTTCCCCATCTCCTATCATCAGCATCCCTCAGCGCATTCATCAAATGGCCGCCAACCATGTCAGCATCACCAACAGCATCCTGCACAGCTATGACTACTGGGAGATGGCTGACAACCTGGCCAAGGAAAACAGAGGTGAGTGAGTCAAGGCACTGGACTATTCTAGAAAACTGACGCATGATTTTGATCAGGAAAGTAACTATTTTGATAGGAATCCTGTCTACAAAGTAGGACTGCAGAGGTGTTATTTTCTTCAGTCAGCTCCTAATCTGTTCCAAAACATCCCAAAAAGGCAATTTTGATAGCTGTCTCACTCAGAAGCATCTAATTTTTGTCTTTGTTTGGCTGGTCAGGACTGGTGACAGACAGGTCACAGACATAGCTGTGGCTAGTGTTCACTGCCATCTGTGTTGTTCTGGAGAGAAAGGTTTGTTGGAGGCAAGACAGCTTCCTGCCCCCCAAAGTCGTGGGGCTGGATGGGATGCGTTTACCCAGACCATGTCAAAAAGCAGAAGCACGCTTTCTTTCTGTAGAAGGAATGACAGCCCCTGCTCCCCCCCCCCCCCCCC